TTTACCAGTTGGGAACGATGTAACAAGACTGTAATATATTACTGATTCAGTATGTTTACCAGTTGGGAACGATGTAACAAGACTGTAATATATTACTGATTCAGTATGTTTACCAGTTGGGAACGATGTAACAATAAGACTGTAATTTGAGAATTATAAAATAAGTATAATGAATTTAGAATTAATTTACACAACATTGTGCTTAACGAATGTCTTTTTGTTGTTGCCCCCCAATGGCACAGCGTTATGTCTGCGGACTTGCAATGCTAGAAACCGGGTTTCGATACCCGTGGTGAGCAGAGCACAGATAGCCCATTGTGTAACTTTGTGCTTAACTTCAAACAAACAAACTTTTTGTTGTCAGTTTCAAGAAACAACTTTACTGTGAAGTCGCTTCTTCACCATATTTGTTGTTTTATGTATGAAATAGTTTACACAATTTTAATCTTAGCTTGTATGTTTTGTGAAATTATTGATAACAACACAATATACCACAATAGTTTATTCTGTGACACATTTAACATACATTCGGGACGCTTTGAAGAGTAAATGTTCAAGATGTTGCCTGATATACTTTTCTAGTTGTCTACCAGCGCTGCGAATGTTTTGGGACTATCAGTCTATGACACTTGTAAAACAAGTAAGAATGACGTGTCTTACATGGAATGATGACGTAAAAGCATCTCGTAACTCTATAACAGTAACTTTTTTAGTGTTTGTTTCTTTTGAATTCCGCGCAAAGCTACACGAGGGTTATCTGCGCTAGCCGTCCCTAATTTAGCAGTGTAAGACTAGAAGGAAGGCAGTTAGTCATCACCACCCACCGCCAACTCTTGGGCTACTCTTTTACCAACGAATAGTGGGATTAACCGTCATATTATAACGCCTCCACGGCTGAAAGGGCGGTAAAGTTAGGTGTGACGGAGGTTCGAACCCGCGACCATCAGACTGCAAGTCGAGTGCCCTAACCACCTGGCCATGCTGGGCCTTTTTTTTAGTGAACCACTCTGTACTTTAGTTTTACTCAAAGGAGTAATAACATAGTATTTAGTTACTACATATTTTCACCAATGAATTTCAAACGTTATTACTAAACTTAACTAATTATTTTAAAAATTAATACTAACCGATCAGAGCAAGCTGTGTACTTAAAGCGGAACTAAAATGAAACTGGCTATCAGTATAGGTGATTAGATATACTTTTCTTAACGTCCCTAGTTATTAAGATTAGAATACATTGTTTGATCAGTTGGGTACCCTCGCTGATAACGATGTTTTCGGCCGTAATCCCAATAATATTATAAGAAGTTCGGTCGACTTAGGTGAAAAAACAGTAACATCAGTATGATATGACTGAATTTGTTTCCTTTCTCCCTTACATGTCTTTTTGACCAATGAAAACTCATTAAGTCATTCGACAGTGACAACACATGTTAATGTTTAAGCTGTCGAGTTAGCAGCAGTAATTTACCTACAGTACAACCAAAACCTTATTCTTCTAATAAACGACGACCTTATAACACCAAATGTGTTATTTTTCTTTCTTAACTCGACTGTCAACGTTTCTCCTTAAAGCTTCTTCAAAAGCATTCCACTAAAACACAAACTGGAACTAGTATTAAAATGCTTTTTGTACTCCAATAAGCACTACAGAAATTAAATAATAAAAGCTTATGTTTATGAACATACAAAATAATCGATAAGAAAAAAAAACCCGAAATCGTCATGAAAATATAACAAACGTAATACAAAGAAAACAACATGCTGTACTTTTAAAGATATCTTAATAATACAGACGAACATACACAGGCCCAGCACCATATACGATGAAGGTAATAATCATATAAAAATGTAGATACTGACATAACAACATAGCATTCTGCCGGGTCGTATCACATCAATGAGATAAATTATAAGGATCACTAGAGGAACAATTTTTTTTTTACTTTTAGTTTATATATATACATCATATCAGACATCTACAAGATTCATTATTTGGTTAATAACCAAACTGGATTGCTCTTTTACGTTGTTTGCAAGATTTGCAACATGATGATATCACTTTGTTCAGGTATCAATATCTTGAGACCATTCATGCCAGAGGGGTTCAAAAGGTCATCTAAAATTATACATTAATATAAATAAATGAAGCATGTTTAACAAGTTAAAATTTAATAGAATAGATATGGATAACATATATCACTAATAACATATATGAATGGGATTAAAAGCTATGATTAACAGATTGAAAAATAACTAACACTGTATTCAGCAGTACCCAATTAAATAGAAGTATGACTAACAGTATAAATCAAACGGACTCTTATTAACTGAAATGGGAACTGTAGCTGGACATTAAGCAAAAGTTAAAATCCAATTAATAGATTTAGACTTCATTAGGGTAAACGACAGATTGGAAATTATAGTTGGATACTGTACTGAAACGAACTTGATGAAATGAAATAGGAATTATAGTTGGTTACGGAATAAGAAAAGAACTGCTATAAATAAGAGTAGGAATTAGTGTCAAACATTAGGTAAGAAAATTTGTTTTTCTTATACACATTACTAATTCTTTCGCCCAATACCAGGATTCATCAGGCCGGCTGGGACACGACAGACATTGTAGTAATCAAGGCGTTGTATAAATACTGTCAATTTTCATGTACAACAACTGTTAGGGTGTGAATCAGATTATTATTAGATCTGAAAAAGAAATTAAAAACTAGGTTATAAAGTACAGATAAAGAAATTTTGATGAAATAAAGTTGAAATTACTGTTGGTTATTAACTGATGTGATATCCTATCAGTTAGTAATTTCTAACAGAAATAGGAATTTCCGCTATAATAATTATGATACCTGCAGAAGTCTTCGTTTTCGCAAGTGATGAAACAGTATTCGTGACAGTAGATCTTGCGAGACATTATAAAACATTCCTCCTAAAGTCCTTGTTGAGCCTGATATTGCTGAACATTCCTCCTAAAGTCGTTGTTGGGTCTGGTATTGCTGTACATTCCTCCTGAAGTCCTTGTTGGGCCTGATATTGCTGTACATTCCTCCTAAAGTCCTAGTTGAGCCTGATATTGCTGAACATTCCTCCTAAAGTCGTTGTTGAGCCTGATATTGGTGAACATTCCTCTTAAAGTTCTTGTTGGGACTTATACTGCTGTACATTCCTTCTAAAGTCGTTGTTGAGCCTGATATTGGTGAACATTCCTCCTAAAGTCCTTGTTGGGCCTGATATTGCTGAACATTCCTCCTAAAGTCCTTGTTGGGCCTGATATTGCTGATTCAAAAGCGAAAATGAAAAGGTACTGACAATAACAGGTACATTGTGAGCAAGACAAACAGAACAAGAGCATACAGATACTTCAAGATGGTCAAATTGAAGATTAGGGTTTATAGACGAGAAGTCTATTAGGAAGATATAGATCAAACAGATAAAAAAACATTCTAGTGAACGCTAATGTGAACATTTATTTGAAGTCATACATGTCTTCTCCATCAGA